GGTTTTGTTTTCTTTGTCCATTTGCTGGTTTCCCCAACCCATCATCCACCAGGGAAAAGACAAAATTTCCCCCAGGTGAGATGTCCCATATGCAAAAGGGCAAAGTCAAGGTTAGAGTGAGGTAAGAAATGCCTGGCGTGATTCTGAAGCCCAAGCTGAGGGATGGGAAACTCATTACTCCCAATGGCAGACGGGGCTGCTTTTTTTTCCTGAAGAAAACCAGGGCTGAAGGGGAAACAACTAACTCTGGATTTAAGGCCCCAGGTGGGCCTCCTAACTTCCACACGGTCCTATTTTATCAGCCTCCTTCCTGCCACACTTGCCCTAAGAGAAGAGTTCCCAGAGAAAGAGCAAGAGTGGGCCCTGTCCCCTGAGTATTTAAATATATCGCCTACCCGCCCAACACAGCCCATTCTCCCCTTCCCGCAGATAATGAAAATAATAAATGAGAGCACCTCTAAAACCCACCTGATTTGCCTTTTCAATGTGAAAAATAAAGTTTACATGGCAAATTCCTGAGCTGTCTGCCAGCTGACTGTCCCCTGAGGCAAGCTGGCTCAGATAGGCCAAGGAGCTGTTTCCTAGGGGGACACAGGCAGTGACTCTGGAGACAGCTGCCAATCTCCAGCTGGGATTGCAGGGACACCCCCCCCCCAGCAGAAGGAAACACAATGTCCCTGTCCCATAACCGTCCACCCTGCTTTGGTGTCAGACTGGCCTCAGGGAGCCGAGCGCAGCTGGGTCTGTTGTGACAGCCAGCCATAAAGCCTTCTGTCTGGTTTCTTCTGAGTCTCTCCCTGTGCGTCACATTGAGAGTCACACTTTCTTTTTGAAAATTGTAGGGAATTCTAGAAACATCCTCACCATCCATCTGTGCCACATTTGGGACATTCATCGTCCTTGCAGAGTGCTGGGGGAAGTCCTGGCTGCTGCTTCCCTGAGTGTGAGTCAGGGCTCCTGCTCAGGGCTGCAGATGGGAGCGGGCCCATCTGGTCACTCAGGCACGGAAGGGTCCTCACTTAGGGCACCAACTGTCCCTGTTTCTTAGTGGAAGACATTATGCCCCTGTAAAATGTCCCTCATCTAAAAGGTCACATATCATAAACTTATCCTTGAGCCCAAAGTCAGGAGAAAGCTTACTTCTCCAGATGAAACTGTGCATTGCTATTTATGTGTTTTGCCCTCATTCGGAAGAAAGCCTTTCATCAAAACATGTGCCTGAACTCTTGGGATTTATTACAAGCAATAGGATTATTCAGTCAAAAGATAGGAACTATTTTAGGTCTCTTGAACCACACTATCAGTTACCCTCCAGGGGCTGCCGCTTGTTTCCAAAGGCATTTGCAGTGGAGAAATGTCTGTTTTCCTGCCATTATCAACTTTCTCAATTTTTTTTTCTGATTTTTAAACATCTTACTTGTTAATAAAACTAGGCTTTAACGAGAGTCCGGACCCTAAAAGCATCCTGGTGTCACTGCTATAAGCTGGGTAATCATTTACCTCTGAAGCGCCTACATTAGGATAGCCACACCTACCACAGAGGCCTTCAAGAGGCATTGGCACGGCCTGAGGGATAGTTTCTGACTTTGTTTTCTATGGCTTTGGTCTTAAGCCCTGAAGAATAAATGTGGACACAGACTCTTGTCTATTCCCTATGAAAGGAGCCCAAAGATCTCTTCAAGGGAGGAGAATTCCAGGTCTTAAGGAAGGGCAAGACAGTAATTTATCACGTCTTCTTAATAGTAAAACCCTTGTTCTCATTTGGACTTTCAGGAAGTCCTTGGCACGTCACATGTAGAGGCAGAGCTACTTGAAGGTGGTGACCAGGTGACCAGGTACCTGCCTTCTCAGTCTTGGCCCTAGGTGGCACTTCCAGTGGCCCCAGGACTCTACAGAGCACATTTTGATGACCACTGAGGGAGAGAGATTTACCTGAGATGTGCTTCAAGGAATATAAAGATGCCATATAAGAACTTCTAAATGGGGGCGCTGAGCTGCACCCCAGGATCAGCTGGAAGAGGGAGATGTGGCCAGAGTCACTACCAGGAAGAGAAGGAGGTAAGTGGTGGGCCTGGGCTGCACAGGGAGGACCCAGGGAGCCAGGGAGTTAGACCTAGGAGCCATAGTGCCTCTTGGGGAGGCAAAGTGGAAGTGGGACTCATTCTGGGCTCCAAGAATAAATTCTGCAGTACCTAAGTGGTCTCTGTAAAAGGAAAATCAAGATGGAAAAAAATGGAATAAAGAGGGAACTTGAGGGGAAGCTGGCAAGTGTTGCTAGCATGAGCTAAATTTCTAGAGATCAGTTATTGGTTTATAACTATTGAGAAACTAGAAGTGAGGTATAATTACCTTTGTCTTAGGTTCGTAACCAGTTAAGAGTGTGATAGCTCATGCCAATAATCCTATCACTCTAGGGGGCCAAGGTGGTAGATGACTTGAGCTGAGGAGTTCAAGACCAACTTGAGCAAGAGTGAGCCCCATCTCTAATAAAAAATAGAAAAATTAGCCAGGTATAGTGGTGCATGCCTATCGTCCCAGCTACTCAGAAGGCTGAGGCAGAAGAACTGCTGGAGCCCAGGAGTTTGAGGTTACAGTGAGCTAAGATGATGCCACTGTACTCAAGCTGGTGTGACAGAACAAGACTGTCTCCAGGAAAAACAAAAACCGTGGGCTTTTAAACATGAGTAAACTTAATCCATATGTCCATATGTATCAAGACGACTAGCTCCTCAGGGAATTTCACATGTTGACAAAAATCATTAAGTTTGGGAACAATAAGTGTTGGAAGGGTTGTAGGGAATAGGTGCTCTCAGGTACTGGTGGGAATATAAATGAATTTGGCCTCTTTGGAGGTCAATTAGGCAGAGCCTACTCAAATTCAAAGTGTACATATCCGATCGGGGCTCCCAGTCTTGTTCCCGAAGCAGATCTAAGGAAATTTCAAAGCAGGTCTTTATCCCCCAAAGAAAATGGAAAAGGTGATAAAAAGTCAAAACTCCAGATCAAGGAGCCAGTCTCATCCCACTTCCTCCCTACCTGTTCTCCCCTCAAAGGCTCACTCTGTGTCCCTTCCACCAAAAAAAAGATACTTCAAGATCCTGTTTGAAATCTAGCTGGAAGTCAAGATCAAGGACCATCTGGAGTTGAGAGATGAACCTCTAACCCTGCATTCTCTCACACTATTACAGAACACTTTCACACTCGCTTAGGCAGCTACTCTTCCGAGTCTGCACTTGGCCTCTTTTGCAAGAAGAATCTCCTGAAAGCAGGGGCACACAGAAATCTGATTTGTGGCCAAGTCTGATGAAAAGATAAGGTTCTAAGAAAATGGTGTTGTGAAGTCAAAGACCTTCTCCTTTCTTTGCAGAATTAACCTTGATTTTATACCTTTTGAGTTAAAATGACTTTTGTGACGAGTAAACTCATTTAGATTTTTTTTAAAGGATCTGCTTTTCAGATTTCAGCAGGCTCTGCTACAGGGGCACTGTTAATTAAAAAAATAGGAAAATGAATAAAACAACTGTTTCAAGCTTTGAATACTTAAGGCTTTAGAGGGAGAACCAATTATAATGATTTTTTACAAAGCTTGAGTTATGTAAAATTTAAATAAAAGTTTGCTACCAAGATACCTTGTTTGAATAGGTCACTATTAAATTCCTTTAAATGTTGATATCTGCCATTTGTGGAAACAATGTAAATTCTCCTTAGAGTAAAGCAAGGCTAGACTCAGACCAGCAATAAATTATTTAGGTTGGATGAAAAAAAAAAAACAAAACCAAAATGGGGACCTGCAATTCTATGTTTAAGTGTTTAAGCAATTTTCTTCAAACTGTTTTGGCCTTGACTCACGATATGAGACATATTTCTTGACACAGTCCATATAGAAATGAAGCAAATGTCTTCTAAGCCAACATTTACCTTACTATAGGCAATAAGTGAGAATGTTTTCTAAATTTATTCTATTCCATTTTTTACAATTTTGGTCACAATCCTTTAAACTGATCTTTTGACCCACTAGAGTACTTCACTACACAACTTGAAAAATTACTATATCTGGAAAAACACACATGTTCAAATATCAATGTTAGTAGGTACCATGGTCAAGAGTGGGGTTGGGCAGTGATCTTCAACCACCGTGCCACAGCACACTGGTGTGTGCAGTGAGAGGATCTTAGATGTGCCATGAAAAATTTTAAAGATAATTAATTAAATTATGTTTGAAAGAAGTTCAAAGCACAGTAAATTTTTCTTTTACTCTTTCTTGGATCAGCATAATTCAAGTGTGCCGTGGAAGTTTAACTCTAGGTTCAAGTGTGCCATGAGATAAAAGAGGGTGACAAACGCTGGGACTGGGGCAGAAAATAAACAAGGCACGTAAATTTCACCTGGCATTGGAGAAAAGAGAAGGTAAACTGAAATAAAACCCTTCATTATTTATATGCTATGAACCCAGAGGCTCTGCAGGCATATTAGCCCACAACAGCTGGTTGGGGAAGGTAGATTCCATCAGCATCCTCCAGGGCCCGATATCACTAAAGGAAGGGGAGTTCTGATGGGCCAAAATCAGTGGGAACCTGGAGCATTGGAGGAAGATAAGAATATCTGTAGCAGGAGAAGGATGCAGAAGAGGGAGAGCAGGATCTTGAGAAACTCCCCCCATCCCTGTGCTGTGAGGCCCTGGGAGACGGCGGAGAGGACAGATGGGCGGGCAGTTGGACTGCCACTGCATCAAGGACAGGGCCAGTGCAGTGTCAACCAGACTTCGGGCTCCATGTGCCATCTCCACCACTGTGGCCTAGGTTTCTAAGCCACTGCTTATAATATCACTGGGTCCTGATCTGGATGACCCTTTGTAGACTCAAGTAAAAAGTTATCATCAACATAAATAATACATGGAGCTGCATGTCTTCTATCGTGTTCCCAGGATAAGTCAGAGACAAATGCAGCCTTCCCATCGCGAGCAGTGCTTGTGGGGTGACGACAATGCACATCCTGCTTTATTTCCTAAATTCAGTACTTGTATGAAGTCAGAATTAAAAGAGGTAAAATAATTTTTAACCACTTAGGAGGCTAATTTTCCTCAGTTGCAGAGTAACTGTTGACTTAGCTTATCTACACCTCAATTTCCTTTTCCTGACATGAGGGATGGTAAGTAAAAACCACCTGTTCCTTGTGATGGCTTTGATGCACAACATTATGAATGTGCTTAATACCACGGAACTTCACACGTTAAAGTGTTTAAAATGGTCAGTGTTATGTTACGTGGACTTTACCACAATACAAAAGTTGAAGGAAACCTCACACCCCACCCCCGCCACAAAACACATGCCCACACGTTTCCCTGTGCATCCACCTCTCCAGTCACCACCCCCACTCCCACCCCCCTGCTCCAATTCTGAAATAGGTCGCACCAGTCCAGCCTGACAGGTGGGGATCAGGCAGGCTTAGCTGACTCTTCCCCAACCCCAGCATTTGCCATCCCTCAAGCCCCCCAGCCTGCAGTTTACCTGTTGAGCAGAGGGACACAGGAAACACTGGCTTGCGTTGCTGAAAAACACGTTGATGAGCTTCCAGTCAAGTTGAAAGTCAAGTTGCTGAGGAAGAGGGCAACAGCGTGAAAAGGATACAGTGGTAAGAACTTGAACCAAAAGAACTTTTCTTTTCATGTCTTTCCATTTCCTAACCCACCCCCTTAAAATTGCCCATAGGGATTTTCCCCCCCAAAATACGAAGTATATTTTAGGCACCTAAAGTGCTTCTAACTGCTCTAGGAGGCAATTTGACAAAATAGATCAAACACATTTTTCAAGGGGCATACTTTTTGATCCAATCATTCTATTGTCCAAAAGGTATTTTAAAGGAGTAAGGACACCTGAAAGATTTAGCTATAGCAATGAAGGCTTTTCATAAGAATGAGAAACTGGAAACACATAAATGTCTAAAATAAGGCGGTTGTTTCATAAGATGAACTCTATGCAGCTATTAAAACAATGCTGGAAAAACGTAATTATTGTTATAGGAGAATGTATTGTTATACATTGCGAAAAGCATGTTATAAGAAGTACACACATCCAGTAACATCCCTGTTTTATACAACATATACAGATGTCAATGCTTAGAAAAAAATATGAAAGGGGATATATATACCCAATTATTAATAGTACTTATCTTTATATTAGGTTTAAGGTTGGTTTTAATATTCTTTTTATTTATCTGTGTTTGCTGACTTTTCTGTAATAAACATGCATTACTTATGTAACAACAACAAAAAAAACTTTTGTTTTGTTTTTTAAGAGGCAGCCAGTATAGTATAGGAACACTAGACTGTAAATTAGGCACCTTAGATATTAGCTCTAACTAGCTGTGTGGACTTGAACAAGTCACATGACTTCTTGGAACTTCAGTTTCCTCATCTGGAAAATCACAGGGTTGGTGTCCACTATTTTGCACTATAATCATATTATTATTTCAGAAATTCTGGAATTCTCCCCTTAGGGGGAAACAAACTCTTTACAGCACAGCTCCTGCACTGGTCACTAGGCCTGTATGACTTAGAATGACTTTCACTTTAATTCATGAATCTTTAACAGATGCATGGCTGGCTGAGACCACAGCTTCCCTTGGCCCGTGGTCTAGGCTCAGAGATTGATTAGGGCCACCTTGCTGGCCTTGATTTGTTATGTTTCCATAAGGACAGAAAAAAGATTGAAGGGTCTTTTTATAAACTTACATAAGGTCTGACAATTAAGTTCACGAACTCATCCTAGAACAAGTGCTTTGTAAGATGGGCTAGGAGCTGGCGGCAGTGCATAGCTTCCCAAGGGAGTAATTTGAAGATGACGGTAGTGATATTCAGCAATGAGGTTTTTCTAGGATGAGTTCATGAACTTAATTGCCTGACCTTGTATACATTTTGGACTGAAGAATATCTAAATTACCTTCACCCTAAGAACTAAAATTAATATGGTAATTCTTAGTAACAGCAACCACTGCTACAATGACAGCTACAGACTTTTATTGATCATTGACTGTCCCAGGCCTATCTAATACCTCACTTAATCCCCTCTAAAACCCATGCTGCAGGCTTTCTTATTATCCCATTTCATAAATCGGAAAACTGAGGCTTAGATAGGTTGTGCCTTAACCAACATCACACAGCTAATAGTGGAACATTGAAACTCAAACCAGTCACATCCTGGACCCCAAGCTCTCTGTCAGCTCCCTATGTGACTTTTAGCAGGACCACACAGAAACCATTCTGAATGTAAGAATGTGTCCCTTTTCTTTAACAATCTCCAGAGAATGGCCATGGAAAGTACATTTTTGAAGAACCTAGGGCCCCCTAGTTGCTGAGCTCCTGGTAAAATGGCACCAAGGCCATCATTACTTTGGTCTGATTGCTTCCTAGCAAACATGGGCAGCCCAATCGAGCCTGGTTAGAGGAATTCTTACTGGGTTCTCCTTCATGCTTCTCACCAGTTCTTGAGCCTGAATCCATAAGTCTCTGTGCCGAGGAAGGAAGCGGAGAGAAAAGCAGTTAAATGTTTTGTCGACGGCTGGAAGCTTGGCCCTTGCTGCAGCTCAGGTGTCAGTCTCTGAGCCTGCACCACCTCTGGCTCTGAAGGGCAGACATTGACCTGCTTTTTAAAATTAGGCCCTTCAGGCAGACTGAAGTCAGCATGGGAGAGGCATTTTGCCTTTGATCTCATACAGACCTCTATTTTTAAGCTTTTGGACTTTGCCAGCCCCCAAGTCCTCCCACCTACAAGCCCAGGGCCAGCAGAGATGCATAACCACAAAAAGACAGAAAAAGAACTCACTCAGCACCATGGTGGGCTACAGCCCTTTCCCCAGGACACATGGGCGTCAGGACAGAAGGGTTGAAATGCTGGATGATGTCTGAAAGGACTGAAGAGAGAGCTGGGTTGAGGCCTGCAGCAGCACAGCTGGAGGTCACTTCTGAAGGCTGACCCCCTCTCAGGTGAAGACCCAAGGTCACTGCCCTATTCCAAGGTAAGGCCCTCACACCCTGCCTTGGGCCATGAGGCAACCCTATAGCAGGACCCTGGAAGGGAAGGAGATAAAGGCGAACATTTGTCAAGTGCGAGGCCAGGCCCAATGCCAAGCCCCCTTCATGCTGTCTCACTCGATCCTCAGTAGCAAACCTCTGGCAGTGTTATTCCTAATTTAGTACAGGCCTGAGGCCTCACAGCTAACTGAGGCTGCCGGGATTTGAACCAGAGTTCTTGGACAGGAAGCTTTTAATTGTTCTGCACTGCTGCTTCCTTAGAGAAAGCCATGCTGGGACAGGGGCTCAGGCTGCCTTCCAGCCCCCCTCCCTCCTCCTGAGAGTGACAGCAGGGCGGGAAAGCTCCAGGGAACTCGCTGAGAACACGTCCCAGAGCTGACAGCCAGAGGCCTGCTAAAAATAGCGCTGTCAGGAGCAGTTAAGTTGTGTCCCACTCTGAGAGAGGAGAGGGCAGAGTGGGGAGAGTGTCATGGGAGCCAGACGCTTCCACCATCCTAATCCCCTTCTTTCCTTGCCCCCATGAAGTGCCTCAGGGCTTTACAGCCTACGGATCCAGCAGAGGGCTTTCAAGGAGCTCCTGATGTTGTGCCAGCAATGATGGGGGGAGGGGGAAGGGCTGGCCTGAGGTCAGGACACTGGTCCCATGGCTTTGTTATTGTGAGCCACCTGACTGGTCAGCACCTTGGTTTTTCACTTTGCTCTAAGCAGGTGCCCATTCCCACCGTGGTGAGAGTGGAAAGTTCCAAGCCCCACTCTGGGCTATAGGGACAGCATGCTGTGTGCACGGGGGACACTAGCTCCCTCACATGAGGATAGTCTGCAAGGACCAATGACAAAACACAAACCTCTGGGGAGAGGTCTGAAAGAGACTGCTTTCCAAATGAAAGGTACCATATTTTCCCTGGATTGCTTCTCTGTAACCAAACACGACTTGAGATCTTTTCACATAGATTTGCCCATCATTTTGTTTCAAGTCTGCTGTGTACCTGGCCTGTCCTCACTACCTCCCTCTGTCCCCCAACAGCAGTGAACAAAGGGCACAGACCCCAGGGTTGCTGCCCTGGGCTCCCAGGCTTCTGCCACTTACTGACACAAAATCCCGAGAAAATCCATGTACCTCCCTGACACTCAGTGCAAAATGGCCATGGTGGGCAAGACCAGGGGGAGATTTGCAGATTTCTCAGGTCCTGGAGAGTGCTAAAGATCTGGGACTGAAGGACAAGTGAACTGAACCTGGGCCAGCCCACCTAACCCTGAACAGGCCTGGACGGCCCCAGAGCACATTCTCCCAGGAAGACTAGTCGCTCCTGCCCACCCAGCTGCGGCAATGCATCACCACACCCCCTGTCCCCCATTAGGTCTGCCTGAGGGATTGGGCTGTAGGCAGGACCTGTCTCTGAGGGCCTCAGAAGTCTGCTGTTCCTGTGGCCAGGTGGGATTCCTGGCCACTCTATGCTTAAAGAGGGGCTGTCAGGCTTACTCCAGGACGCATGAGGGGGGTGAAAGGAGACGAGCTGAGAAATAAGGCAAAGCAGCATGTGTGGCCTTAGGGTCTAAACTGCGTCCCATCTGCCCAGACGCTTCCAAATGTACCACTTCATTTCTTTTTTCCTGTCATTTAAAGGTAAATAGGGCCAGGCCTAGGCACAGCTGTGACAGCTATCACATGACAGCCTTCCTCTTTCAGAACCCTTTGACTCTTTCCAAGGGGACTCTTCTACCTATGACTTTGGCCGCCACTGTGTGCTTGGCTGTCAGTCAGATCCCGGAGGGCTCTACCTTCCCTGTGGGATCCTGAGTTCGGAGGCAGGGCCAGTATCCTGTTCACCTCTGTCCTTTCCAGAGAGACTAATGGTTCACTTCATGTAAACTCCCTGCTGAACTGCCAGGGCTCCAGCTGCCTCACTTGTCCGTTACTCCAGCTCAGAGAGCACTCACAACTCGGCTCAAGTGATCCTTTTGCCTCAGTTTTTCTGTTTTTAGTAGAGAGGGGTCTCGCTTTTGCTCAGGGTGGTCTTGAACTCGTTAGCTCAAGCAATCCACACCTTGGCCTTTCAGTGTGCTAGGACTACAGTGCTAGAATTAACGGCACCCAGCCCTAGTTCTTGATCTATGAGGACAAGCATAGGAGACTAACATCCCGCTAGGTTAGCTCAGCTGCCTAAGGACTTAGGGGTTTCAGGATGACTTCACAGGGTCATAGGGGATCTTTTATATTAAATATCGAAAACCCCAGATTACATATAGTGTACTTACAGGCACATTCGTGTAGCAAAAGGTCAATGTGTCAACAACAATTATCTCTGAATAGTGGTACTACAGCTATTTTCTTCATTTCATTTTCCTGAATCCAAATGATGTATTTATTTTACAAGTGAGAAAGGATATTACAAAATGAAATGGACTAAAAACTAGGCCCGGGTCCTTTCCTCAGATCGAGGGAAATGAACCATGAATGTTTCCCCCTAATAAAGGGCTACAAGCCCAGCCCTGGGGGGTCTAGGGAGATAGGAGCCTGAGGTCCAGCCACCCCAATTGGCCCCTAACCCCTCTTGCATGTCCCCCAATCTTAACCCAGTGCCTTCTAGCCAGTGGCTTGTCTTTGCTCAGAGACCCTTGGATACATTTCTCGTGCCTTCCATTCAGCCTACGTGACAGTTCCTACTCTGGCCCTTCCTTATCTGTCCTCTCAGGCTCCTCCCCTTTCTCCAGGGCTCTGGTGATAAAGTGGCCAGCTGAGTCCATTCTCTTTATTAACCAGAAGGCTACTGTGTCGGGAAGTGCAGACCGTGTGGAACATGCTGTGAAAACCAGAGCTCACCTGTCATCGCTTCCATGCACGTCTGCTGCGGCCTCTTCTCAGTCCTGCAAGTAGGAGCAAGCACGCAAGTGTCAGATTGCATTTGTCACCTGTCAGCAGCCTTGCTCTTGGCTGTGGTCTGTTTCATAACAAGCTTGGGCCCAGCCTTGCTCTGTTCTGGAACTATCCTTTCTGGAGTCAGAGGCTCCCCTAAAATGGCACCAAAGTAACCAAAATGAGGCAAACAGTTCCCCTGGACCCTCCTCCTTTTCTTCTTCCCCTCTCCCTTAAGTTGACCCACAGCTGGGAGGGGATAACCACCCATGTAGAACTGGCCCTGGCCCAACCCTGAGTCATTCTCTAAGAGCAGAGCAAGGAGACCTGGTGGTGGGAAATAAGAACTCCATCTCTCAGGCCTCCCCACTTCTCTTCCTTATTCCCCAGAGGGGACACAGAGATTCCCAGGCACTGGGGCAAGGGTGTTAGGCCAGGAGGCTGGGTTCTGGTGCCTATTCTGCCACCTGCTCCAAGGGTGGCCTCAAGCAAGGCTCCTAACTTCTCTGGCCCTCAGTCTTCCCTGTCAGTATAGCAAGGAGACAAGATCAGAGCCTCTTGGAGGCTCCTTTCTGCTCCATCTGTGCTTTCTGGATAGTTACCATTTTTGCTTCTCCAGGTCAACCAACTCTGGGTCTGGAGGCTGGAAAAGATGTTCAGTGTTAACTCCCAGCCAGGAAAGGAGACAGAACCTCCTCCGGTGAGACTTCCAGCTGCCTGTAGAATACCCCCTCCCACCTCCATGACCTACATGAGGGAAGAACCTATGGATGCAGAGAAAGACCAAATCTACCCATGTGTGCATTGCAGGGAGAGGACAATGTCTGGCTTCCCCGGTGGCATGTTCGTCAGATGTGGGAGCAACAGAAGGTGGGGTGTTTCCTCAGAGCTTAGATGTGAATGTCCCACAAAGTCATATTAGCTTTACACATAGAAACAAAGGATGATTTTATCCTGACCCTCCAAAATCTAGGATTTGTTTTATCTATTGTTTTTCTCCCCTGACTGGAATGTAAGAGTCTTGAGCTCAGGAAGTTCATCTGTTTCATACTTGACTATATTCCTTGGACCTAAAACTCAAATATTTGTTAAATAAATATTTTGGAATGAGCAAAATCAGTTTCTGATCCCCCATCCCCATCCTTGGCAGAATCCTGGGCAACACAGGACAGTCTCTTTTGGCCAAGTTCCCTAAGTATAGGGCTGGAGGTGAGGCCACGGTCAACCCCTAAAAATCATGTCCCTTGCAAACTCCCAAGGATGCTTAGAATTGCTCCCAGGACATAGAAAATGCACCGCAAATATTAGCTAATGCTAGTAGTATTATTTTGACAGTTTCTGATGCAAATTTTCTCTCAAAATTCCTAGAAGACAGTATCTCAATGTGGTGGTGACAGGCAGACAGCTCTACATACAATGCCTGCCCCAGCCTGCTGCTGCCTCCTTTAAAGAGCCCATCCATCCCACCCACCCAGCCCAAACTCCAGCCCACCTATGCACCTGCGTACACCTCTAGAGCTCTCCAGGTAGAGCAGGTTGACTCTCAAATCCCTCTAACTGGGACAGTGCCCTTTACTCCTTAATAATAGGGACTTTGAAAGGTAAATCTTCCAAGAGGAAGTGACAAGTTAAATAAAAGTCACATGAAAATGGAAGTCAGGGACTGTAAAATAGATGTGAGATAGGTTAGTGATAAGGGGAGCAGACCTCTGGGGCTGTGGTCACCTGGACAGCCTGGTGCCCAACCAAAGGAGGCAGCGCCCATTGGCTTGAGCTGGTGGTTGTCAGAGGAATGAGGACCATGGCTGCCAGCATGAGTTTTCAAGAGCAGCTGGAAATGCAGACATTTATTTGAAATCTGCTGGATTCAATGTTGGCTGCTGATTCAATTAAAGACAGAGTGTGGCTTAGGACCACCAACTTACTGCTTCTTTTAATTAATTGACTGCTAGCAGGTCTTTTCCCCCGGAACAAGCTTGACTGGGGGTAGGGGTGGTGAGGTGGTGAGGTGGTGAGGAGGTGGGAGGGGGGAGAGAATAAGAGGAACCAGGCCAGGAGTGGGGTTTGGGGGAAGAGTCACAGAAAGGGAAGTCTGAGGCAAACCTAGCAAACCCCCACTTCTCCATTTTGCCAGCCACCAGCCATTTCCTCCCTAGTGGCTAAGTGTCTGCCCCATGCTGGTACTATGACCCTGGAGACACGAAGCTTAATAAGATGCAGCTCTACCCTCTGAGAATTTGATAGAGTGGATTGTAACTTCTCTGGCGCATGGAAACATGTCTAGGACAGTTTAAATAAAGACCCTAATCCACAGATAGAATATTGCAGTGTGATCATATTTGATTTTGTATATTCCCATGTGCCTATGTATTGCTATTTACATGTATTGGGGGAGGTATTGAGAGAGAGACAGAGAGAGTTGAGGCAGAGTAATGAGCTGTGAATGGGGTCTTCTATTTTTTATGACGTATACAAATTTTATTTCTTATATTGAACAGGTAGCACAAGTGCTATTTGAAAATAGCTTTTAAAAACATTTACATAACGGATTTTTAAAGTTCTATGAGGAAAAATGGGATTAAACAAGTGCTAGTTATAGTCCCGAATAAGTAATTGCACCTTAGTTACAGAAAGCTCCAGGAACTCAAAGCAAACCTCGGCACTATGGACTTCTTTTTTAAAAACTTACTGTCTTCCGTTATTTTTCCTTGATCAGTTTGCTTCTTTAGACACACACCCTGGCTAAGCTCACAATCACCAGCTATTTCTCAGAACACAGAGAGGAAGAAGGCCTGGCAGGAATGCAGGTTTTATCCTGAAGGTCAAGGTGCCCGTCAGTGTGCTAACAGTGATCTGGGGGCTAGGAGGCCATCCTGACTGAGCTGTCCCTGAGAACGGGAGCTGAGTGACAGGAGCTGTCAAACCTAAATAATTCACAGGCCTGGGAGCTCTTTCAGAGAGGAGACCAAAGGGTGGAAGTCGGTGAGAAACCCGACTCTTTGGTGGAGGTTTCCCTGCCCAGGGTGGAAGAATCCAGGAGTGTGCCCCGCAGGAAGTGTGCCCCACACCCCGCACTCTGGAGTGTAATAGAACTGTGCCCAGAGCCACAGGCTTAGCAAAGCCAACTTGCTATTCAGGGCACAGAACCTCTCTTCTCACTTTTTTTCCTTCTCCCCTTTTATCCCTTTGTCCAGTGGAAATCCTCATCTTCACCCCATCACGTACAGACCACACAGACAGTCACACATGCAACTTTAAAGCCACCAGCGCAGATGGAGGAGAACACAGGCGGGGAAGCTCTCCCTGCTAGCTTTCTTTGGCCCCACGCTCCATTTCCTAAGGTTCAGTCTCTACGTACACGCACCAGTACCTCCTGCTGCACACACTGTTCACAGTTGTAAACAAGGGTAAGGTTGTGGGTCTGGGCAGCTTCACTTGGTGTCCAAAAAGAGTGACAATCACAAACATAGCAGGGCCAACACTTGGCAGGGTGTCTCACACAAATCCCAGAGAGGCGCAAGTTGGTTATTTGAGAAGAGATGAGGGAACAGGCCCAGGATGTCTGGGGCATTGGGCCGGCCAGCCGTGGATTGTCAGGTCGGAGGAAGTGGCCGAGGTTGCAGGGGATACAGGCTGTGGTGGGGACAGAGGAGGATGCTGGGAAGCAAACTTGGGTGGGAGATGGAGTGAGGGGGTCCTGGGGGTGAGAAGAGAGTGTCCTGGTTCAGGTGAGGCAGGGCTCTGAGGCTGAGCAGAGACCTGATAAGGAAAAGCTCTGTCCAGCTGTGGCTGCTGGGGTTGAGAGGCAGCAGGGCTGCGGAGCTCTGCTAAGAAGGGCAGGTGGGATTAGGGGAGCGAAGGCTGCTAGGGAAATGCTGACGTCTGCTCTCCAACCCTCTCCCCTCCAGATGCCTCTTTCTCTGCTCATTCCTCTCTTTCCTCTTTACTTTATTGCTTTCTCTCCCCCTTACTCAGTCGTATAAAATATACCACTTATAATCTATTAACAACAAGCATTTGAAAAGGTGCTCAGCACCACTAATGATAAGGGAAACGCCAATGCAAACCACAAGGAGATGCTGCTGCAGACCCGTCAGGACGGCTACTATTAAAACCAAACCTACCTTAGAAAGTAAGTGTTGGCAAGGATGGGGAGAAATTGCAACCCTTGTGCATGATTGGTGGAAATGTAAACTAGTGCAGCCACTGTGGAAACTATTACGGCAGGGCCTCAAAAATATTCAAAAGAGAATTACCATATGATCTGACAATATCACTTCTGGGTCCACAGGCAAAAGAAATGAAAGCAGGGACTTGAACAGATATTCGTACACCCATGTTCATCGCAGCATTATTTGCAATAGCCAAAAAGTAGTAGCAAGCCAAGTGGCCATTGACAGAAGAGTGAATAATAAAATGTGGTCTGCAAGTATAACTATAGTGGAATATTATTCATCCTTAAAGAGGAAGGACATTCTAGCACCTACTGCAACATGGATGAATCTTGAGGATTCATGCAGAATAAAATCATCTAGTCACCAAAGACAAATACTGTATGCTTTCACTTATATTTGGTATCTAGAATAGCCAAAATCATACAGACAGAAAGTAGAATGGTGGTTCCCAGGGACTGGGGAAAGGGGAGAATGAGGTGTCATTTAATGGGTAGAGAGTTTCAGTTTTGCAAGGTGACAATGTTCTGGAGATTGGTCGCACAACAATGTAAGTATACTTAACATTCATGAACTGTTCACTTAAAATGGCTGAGATGGTGGGGTGGCACCTGTGGCTCAGTGGGTAGGGCACCCGCCCCATGTACCGAGGGTGGCAGGTTCAAACCCAGACCCGGCCAAATTGCAACAAAAAAAAATAGCTGAGTGTTGTGGCTGGTGCCTGTAGTTCTCTACTCAGGAGGCTGAGGCAAGAGAATTACCTAAGCCCGGGGAGTTGGAGGTTGCTGTGAGCTGTGTGACAGCATGGCACTCTATCGAGGGCAATAAAGTGAGACTCTGTCTCTACGGAAAAAAAAAATTAAAAAAATTGCTGAGATGGTAAACTTTACATTATGTATGTATACCATAATTGTAATTTTTTTTAATTTTATTAATATTGCTGTATTTTTAAATTTAGTAAAGAAATTTCTTCATCTTCTAAATAGGAAATTTTAAAGATTACCTTAAAATTCTCTGTGGTTTCTTTTTTGTGTGTTTGTTTGTTTTTTGAGACAGCATCTCACTCTGTTGCCTAGGCTGAAGTGCAATAGACCAATCATAGCTCACTGCAGCCTCAAACTCCTGGGCTCAAGATATCCTCCTGCTTCAGCCTCCCAAATAACTGGGACTACACAGACTCCATGCCCCACTGATTTTCTTTTCCAATTTTTTTTTATAGAAATGGGGTCTCACTATGTTGTTTACTTTTTTTTTGAAATGGACTCTCACTCTGTCACCAAGGGTAGAGTGCTGTGACATCATAGCTCACAGCAACCTCAAATTCCTGGGTTCAAGCAATTCTCCTCAGCCTCCCATGTAGCTGGGACTATAAGCACCCACCATAAAACCCAGCTAGTTTTTCTATTTTTAGTAGAGATGAAGATCTTGCTCTTGCTCCGACTGGTCTCAAATTCCTGGCTTAAGCAATCCACCCACCTCGCCTGGCCTCCCAGAGTGCTGGGATTACAGGCATGAGCCATGGCACCCAGCCTCAGTATGTTGTCTAGGGTAGTCTTGAACTTCTGGCCTTAAGCAATCCTCCCATTGTGTTGAGATTACAGGTGTGAACCATGGTGCCCAGCCTTTGTGTGATCTTTGATGTAATTTATCAATAGATTTAATTTGTTAATGGGAAACTCAAAGTTTCCTCTCCCTGATGTAAAGGGAGGCATTCATTTGATTAAAAAAAAAAAGACTCAACTTCCTGGATTTTAGGGTTTCTCTAATTCATATAATGTTCTCTCCCAAAATGAAATGTTCTGCCTGGTTAGTAGGAGCTCATTCAGAGGATCACTGGTGGTAAACCGTATCTTCTATCCCAAGCTACTTCAAATACTCACAGGTTCCAGGTTGCCAATGGCTGCCACAAATTTAATATCAGAAGGCTTCAGAGAGTGAACTGTGAAGACAAGAACCCATGCAGGAAGGTCAGATCTATATCCCCCACAATGCAGGTCAAGAACGTCAGATGAGAGGGGCAGACCATCCTCAGCCCTGGGACAGCTGCTGAGGTCAAGTATGCTGTGTGTGGGAGTGTGCAGCTCCAGACCATCACTGGGAGCCCTAGAAATCCTGCCCTCAAAGAGACTCACACCACTTTGGAGGCCACACTGTTAACTAGTCTTGGGGTCTCCAGACAGGTGTCCCATGGAAGGTCACCTCATTTTTCCTCTCACTTAGCCCTCTTTTTGCTGCTCACATCCCTCTATCCCACAGCTTTGCATTTCCTGGCTACTATAAAAAAGAGGGCAGCAAAATAAAATTAAAACCACCTGGGGACCAAGAGGATGACTTTAGCTTGAAGACTGCCAGACAGTAGCATCATAGCCTGCGAACGCAGGTAAACATCAGAGGCAAGTTGTATTTTAATAATACACATGGAAGTCTCCCCAGCATTTTTAGAAATTAAGTCTCCCTAGAAACTGCTGACCATACTTCCCTGATCTTGTGGTTGGGGCATTTAAACATAAACCTCTTAAAGAAGCCATTTCCTAAAATATGATTTTTGTTCTCTACCTAAAGTCCTTAAGTAGAATTAAATTAATAACATAATAACAGGTATATTAGTATATGTTATATTAGTAACAGAATAGTAAGAATAACATGCTTAACTGGAAACTGACCCATATTACTCAGCCAGGGAAGAAGACCAGCTCAAGAGCAAAAGTCATGGCATCCAAGTTACTAGACAAACCTAGCCTATTATAGAGAAGAGCGTCTAGAGCTGCCATTGAGGCTATAGCACAGGAATGGGGAAGCTACTGAGTGACCAGGCTCCAACCCACAGCTCCCAGGACACCATCCACCCACAGGGAAGCAAGATCCAGAGATCACCCCGACTCAGGTGAGCCACTGTGGAGCCTTCCTGGTGGTGTCCCTGAGTGGTGTGTCAGGCTATGTTCCTCCATAGAAATGACGGACAAGGAAATCGGGTGGTATGAGGGACTGAGGATGAGAGGGAGAGAAGATCTGAATGGTCAACAGGCGCAAGAGGCGGCGGGCTGGAGCCTCTGCTGGCCACCTCAGAGAGAAGAAACCAGGCTTTTCTCACTCACAGCTGGGGGTTACGTACCTGACTTAGACGGCATATTCAATCCTAGCTTCTTTGGGTTGCATGGGAATGGAAAATTCTTCAGCGTCTTCAACTGAAACCAAACGTTAGAAGCATCAACTGTCTTGTATGGAAATATCACAGGTCCTGAAAACTTGGTGCAAAAATGATCATAAACTTGTTCTATCTAGGCTCAAAATCCAGAAGCAACAATTGTCCGTGGTCATGTTCTGCTAACCCTAAGCCCACTTCACCTCGTAAAAGGGGCCGTGTCTATTGGCAAGGATCTTAACAGATGGCATGTTACCTCAGAGCAGTGGGTGGAGAGGGAGGACAGATGAAGAATAAAAATTAAGCCTTGTGATGACAAAGAAGTCCTGGAAATGGATAGTGGTGATGGATGCACAATAGTGTGAATGTCACTGTATGATATGCCCAAACATGGCTAAAATGGTAGCTTATATGTATTTTGCCACAATAAAAATAAAGAAAGAAAAAATACTATACCTAGACTAAAAACATAATCAATCTCTATACTCCGATAGGGAAAAATGTGTAGTAACTGAGGGGCTTGACTACATCTCACCATCACAAGAAGACACAATTTCTCTTAAATTACTGATTACAGGAAGAGATACAGAATTACTCTCAACTCTTATCTTGGGGATGTTCTGGGAAAAACCTCACCCAGATTCCTTCAGATAATGCACAACATCTGCTTCAAGGTTCACAGAGATAAAGAGCCCATTTATAACCCTTTCTGGACACTTCTGGGAACCACACGCTCAGTCTGCAGGGACAGAGAGCCCCAAATTCCAGGAGATATGGTTACACTCTGCCAGGCAGTTCCACTGTCCCTAAAAGCAGTGGCTCATCCAGCTCATTCTCTTAAGGCCTCAAGGAGGGGCCTGTCAACTTGCATCAAAACTTAGACTGGAAAAAAAAAAACACTTGGATTGACCCACTCAAGGAAAATCCCCCCCTCCCTCCGTGGGTGCATCCACATACACACACATCCTATCAGGGCTAAGTTCTCACCTCTGGCCACCGCTGCCCTTCCAGCATGTTTTTTCCAGGACAGGTATGGCTCTGATTAGTCCCTAAAATAAAGCAAAAATAGTTTAGGTTATTTAGCTGCTATGAACCCCCACCCAAATTTGTACCTTTCACGCCCTTCCTCCCGGCCCCATTATCTATGTACCCAGCTCCATAAAGTCCCTTGTGTTAGGACAGCCCAGATTCTATTTTTCCAATTATCACTTCCATTGTTTGGGACACCACACTTCCTTTAATGCAAACTATTAGGGCAGAATCCCCAGGTTGAAAAGCAAAAGTATTATCTGGGACAGGTCGGCAATAAAACTATCTTAGGCACAGGCTTATCACCACAGATGGCTTTACTGGTTCCTTCGCGAAGGGCAGGACCCTCAAAAGGTAATGTGGGGCACATGACTGTTGTTGTTTTAGGATCTACCACAAAGCAGGGAAGGCAAATAACATTCCAGAATAGTCTGAAGGGTGATGTGATCTTGGGAGAAAGGACTAGTTATGGGATTCCTAGCAGCCACAGCTGTACTAAGTACTTGGACAGGGGCTGTGTCAAGGGCTCTTGCTGAACGTGAGGCAAAGGAGAAATGCAAGGAGGGAAATGACGAAAACACTGTCCTTAACCCACCTTATTTGGGACTTATTTTTAAAAACATTGTTTTAGGGTGGCACCCGTGGCTCAGAGGAGTAGGGTGCTGACTCCATACGCTGGAGGTGGTGGGTTCAAGCCCTACCCTGGCCAAAAACTGAAAAAACAAAACAAAACCAAAAAACCATTGTTTTATTTATTTTTTTTTTTTGAAACAGAGTCTTAAGCTATCCCCCTGGGTAGAGTGCCATGGCATCACAGCTCACAGCAACCTCCAACTCCTGGGCTCAAGCGAGTCTGCCGCCTCCGCCTCCCAAGTAGCTGGACTACAGGCACCCGCCACAACGCCTGGCCATTTTTTGGTTGCAGCCATCATTGTTGTTTGGCAGGCCCGGGCTGGGGATTCGAACCCGCCACCTTAGGTGTATGTGGCTGGCGCCTTAGCCACTTGAGCCACAGGCGCCCAGCCCATTGTTTTATTTTTTAAAAGTATAATTGACTTTCAAAAAGTCAATATATTCGACAATAAATTCAACTCATCTTCAGTGTACAAGGTGATGAGTTTTCCCATTTTTTTTTAACTACACAAATAGCACTTGAAAATTAACAGCACTCTACATTTTTTATAAAAGGAAAAAAATAAACCTCGCCCATAATTGCCACTACTCTGACAATCGAAAGTCCTCTCATTTGTTCATATTCTTGCGACCAGGATCAGGCAGACTTCTCACTCAGCCGCCATCGCTGCGCACTGTTTTGTATCCTGCAAGCTTCTGTTAATGTATCATGAGCATGTGGTTATATAACCCTGATACTCAGTTCAACAGCTACGGGACACACTTGTGACGCTGATGTTTAATCCGAGATGCAGGTGCCTCGCCTCCTCTGACTTCTCCCCACCCAGTCTCTGCCCAGGGTGTACACTTCTCATAAGAGCTTCTCATGCCAGACTCCCAAATGACATCAGTCAGTGCTGAAGGGAAGCCTGACTCGCGGGAGCTGCTTGATTTCTTTTCTCCCCCAGCTTTATACTTTTTGACCCTGAAAATGATTTATCTAGAGTTTCATGAGGAACAACAAACAGACATTTCCATTTTATGCCTGCTGTGAGATCAGGCACTGATTGAGCTTGGGCACGGAATGGATGGCTGTAACCCGCCTCCAGACCTCACCACCCTTCTGAAATTCCCAGAAGCAAGCTTTCTGGGTAGAGAGTCACATGATAGGAAGGTGTAGATGGCACAGAATCCTGGAAAAGGCCCCAGTGCAGGGTTTATAACTGGGGGAAGGGGGGGTAAGTTAGGGGGACCGGTGCATGAGGCCACACAGGCACACGGCAGCCACAAATGCCAGGCTGGTCTGTGAGCAACAGAGAGCGACAACCCCAGTCTTTGAAGAGCTGATTCTAAGATATATTTTAAGATGATTGTCACTCTGGGAATAGTGAGATAGAGGAGTCAGCAGGCAGAGATTTGGAACTATTTTGGCAAAATTCTTTCTAAGCCAGGATAAAAATGTAGATGGTAGCCAACACTTATATTCAGCTTCTATGTTCCAGGCCCTGTTTTAAGTACTTATGTGAAAATAATTCATTTAATCTTCACAACAATTTTATGAGATAAACACCATCATACCCACTTTACAGGTGGGAAACCAAGGCCCAGAAAGGTTAAGTGGCATTTTTTTAAAGGTGCTACAGCTAACTAAATGGCTGGATTTGGGAATGGGCAGCCTGGCTCTTCTGGCTCCATGGGCCACTCTTGTAACCAACAAGTATAAGCCATGCGCCCAAGATCTAGACCAGGGGCAGCAAACGTTCTCTATTCGGGGCAGATAGTTAATATTTAGGTTTTGAAGACCATAAAGTCTTGTCAGGACTACCCAACTCTGCTGCTATTTTGTGAAAGCAGCCGTCGACAGTACGTAACAACTTTATTCAGGGAAACTAAAATCTGAACGCCATAGCATTTTTGTATATCATGAAATATTCTTTTTATTTTTTTCAACCCTTAAAAAATGTAGAAACCCTTGCAGATATTAACAAACCGATACTAAAGTTTATATAAAGAGGCCAGCGATTCAGAAAGCCACCACGATACTGAAGGAGAACAAGGTCAGAGGGCCAATATCACCTGGCTTCACAATTTGCTATAAAAGGTACAGTATCAAGACAGTGTGGCATTAGCAACAGAATAAAACAATACAGCCATGGAACAGAGAGCCCAGAAATAGACCCCCATAAATATAGTTGGCCAATCTTTGACAAAGGAGCAAAGGCAATATGACAGAGAAAAGATAACCTTGTCAACACACGGTATCCACGTTCAAAAAACAAAGAATCTAAAAATGTAAAAATTGTTCTTAGCTCATGGATCATACCAAACTGGTCAGCAGGCTAGATCTGGCTCACAGGCCAGAGTATGGTAAATGACCCCTGATCTAGCCTGGTACTGAGAAGAGGTTATCAAGGTGAAATGGAAGGGTGGCATCTCTGGTGATGAGCAATAGACTTTAGCCGCAGGGCTTCCAGGTGGGGAGCTGGGGATCCACCTCTAGGTTACCAGGCTGAGTGCTGCTGTAGCTCCTCCCTGAGCTTTGCGGGACCTTCACAGGGGGAGGAACACAGCTGCTGGACACCAAATCTCCCCTGATCTTTGATGTGTGGTTCAGTACATCTTGTAGTTTTCTAGGCTTTAAGCCCAGGAGAAATAAAAGAGTTACTCTTCAGAGAAAGCTTTTGGGTTTTTGTGTTGTTTTGGTTTTAGAGATAGGGTCTCACTCTGTCACCCAGACTGGAGTGCAGTGATGCAATCACAGTTCATTGTAATCTCCAACCCTGGCCTCAAGCAATTGTCTTGCCTCAGCTTCCTAAAGTGCTGGGATTACAGACATGAACCACTGTACCTGGCTGGGATCTCTCCCTTTCTTTTCTTTTCTTTCTTTTCTCTCTCTCTTTCTGACAGAATCTTGCTCTGTCACCCACACTACAGTATGGTGACATCATCATAGCTCAGTATAACTTCAAACTCGTGGACTCAAGCAATCCTCCAGCCTCAGCCTCCTGAGTAGCTGGGATATGCCACTATATCCGGGTAATGCGTCTATGTTTAGTAAATATAGCATCTTGCTCTTGATCAGGCTGGTATCAAACCCCTGACCTAAAGCAATCCTCCTGCCTCAGCTTCCCAGAGCGCTAGGATTACAGGCCTGAGCCACCTCACCCAGCCCCTTTGCTATACGTAATTTTGTAAAAAGGATTTTTATGACAGCTAATACACTCAGTACTCTATAAAGCTTTAAAAATTGAAAGAAAAATAAGCAGAAAAGCTAACCCAGTGGCTGTGCAAAGTATACAGTAAAATATGTTAATTATGATGAAAAGTGCTCTTGTTTCATTATCAAACAACCCAGGGAGGAAGATATCATTATTATAATAATTTTATAGCAGCCAATGTTAAAATTCTTTAGGGAGTTGAGGCTGGGTTGAGAAAATCTATCTGCTGACTAGATGATGAAAGGGCTTAATGGGGCTCAAAAGAGGCTGTTTTTGAAGATGACAGGTGGCTTCCCACATCTTTCTTGTGAATATTATGAAACCTTCTGGGCCATATACTTTTTCTACTCAGACGTTCTATTACGCACCCCAGAATTCTCTGTGCATGTATGTGTATCTGTCCAGAGTCATAAAGGCAGCAAAGACATAAGGAGTCAAAACCTTAGAAAGAAGGGAAGTGCAGAGAGTGAGTCTCACATCTGCTACTGTTTTAGCCTTGAAGCATTTGTCAAATCCAGGACAACAGAAAGCAGCAGCGGAGATGCTGAGATGCTGTGCAGAGCTGTAGGCAGTCTCACGAAACTAGGGGTTGGGGGATGGAACAGTATAGTTCAGCATCCATCAGAGAGGAACTGGTAAACATCCCAGGATTTCAGTTGGAACTTAAAAGAGCTAGACCCACTGAGTTAGGATAAACTGGAAATAGACCAACCTGCAAAAAGACTAAAGCCCAGACTTGAATCACTTTGATTCCTGATTAGACTACGGTGAGTAGCTCCTACCTACCTGCCTGCCAAAAGCTGAAGTAAAGAAGGAAATACTACCAGAGCACAAAATGGCTGTTTTTCACATGCCATGCCCATCTTTCACCTTTTTAAACCAGGAGAAAACACTAATTAAACCAAAACCAAGAGAAAATAAAAAACACATAACAGACAGCATATCAGTGAAAAAATGGTGGACTATTATGGGAATAAATGGGAGAAATCCATGACTCTGCTAGCTCCAGTTTTATCCCAGATGAGGCAAGAGGCAGACCAATGCAAAGGACTGAGATTTGCTCATCACATATGCCTGAACAACTAGAAATCTAGGTATGTACGGAGAAGCCCTGAAAGAGCCACGTGTAAAATTAAAGCAGAGAGAGATGTAACTGTTCATCTGAACACTGTAACTGTTCATTCCCCAGC